AATAATAAATAAATAATAAATAAATAATAATAAATAATAATAATAGTATAATAATAATAATAATATATAATAATAATAATAATAGATAATAATAATAATAATAGATAATAATAATAATAATAGATAATAATAATAATAATAATAATAATAATAATAATAATAATAATAATAATAATAATAATAATAATAATAATAATAAACAATCATAAATTTATAATATGGATTAAACACTTCATTCATTATTTTTTGAAATTTTGATGGAGCATTTTTTAGTCCAAATGGCATTACATTCCATTCGTATTGTCCAAATAGAACATTGAATGCAGTTTTATATTTATCCTCTTCCTTTATTTGTATTTGCCAATATCCTGATTTTAAGTCGAATTTAGAAAAGATTGTAGCAGTAGCAAGTCTATCTAATAAGTCTTTTTTATTAGGTATTGGATATCTTATCCATTGTAAAACTTTATTTAAAAGTTTATAATTTATTACTAACCTTGGTACCCCTCTCTCTTTTTCAGCATTTTTATTTACATAAAAAGCAGCACAGCTCTAAGGAGATGCACTTGATCTGATTAGGTGTTTTCTTTGTAATTCATCAATTTCTTTTTTACAAAATTCTAATAGGGTTGTATTCATTTGTACAGATCTAGCCTTTGTAGGAATTTTAGTTTCTTCAAATCCTTTTTCATAAGGTAATCCTACTATATGTTTCTAAGGTAATCCTACTATATGTTTCTTTCTTTCCCAGAATGCATTTGGAAGGTCACTGCAGATTTCTGTTTCTATCTGGGTTCTAAGGTTATTTATTTTTGTTATTATTTCAGGTTTTTCCAAGTCTGTTTTATTTGTTTATATTTAATTTCTATTTTAAGGGAACATAAAAACTTTTCTTTATTGTCTATTTTATCTTTGACTCTATTGATTTCTTTGAGCTTTGGTTTTTCTAAAAATTCAAACTTGATTGTTTGTCCTTTTCTAGTTGTTTCGAGACCTGTATTATTAATTGTTATGGGGTAAAGTAATGTTAGGAATGGGATTCCAAGTATTACTGCCTGACTTAAATTTTTTACCATAATAAAAGGTGTTGGAAAACAGTGTCCATTATTGCATACCATGGCACTTGATAATTTATATTTAATAAATAATCTACTACCATCAGCAGTATTAAGTATTTGTGTGGTTTTATCGAAATATTTGGATGGGACTAAACCTTCATTAATACAATTTAAATCTGCATCAGAATCTACCAAAGCTAATGTTTGAAAACTATATTCCTCTTGGATAACAATTTTTACTAATATAAACTATTTTTGTGAAATAATTTTGTTTACTAAATTTACAGATATATTATCTTCAACTTCTTTTGTTCTTGAAGTTTCTAGTTCTATATGGTTAGTATCTACTAGTTGATCAAATTCAATTTCATCTGTATCAGTTATGGTTCTTGATATATCATTTTATAATTCTAATATTTTGATTCTAGTCTTAGTTGTCCTACTTCTGTTTTTATCTCATTTACTTCTGTTTTCAATTCAGATATTGTGGGTTCTCTTTAGAGTAAATCTTTTTATTAATTTGTTTGAGTTTGTAACAATTAGTTAAGTTTGAGTTTAGGTTTGTTACAGATAATTGTTGTTACTCTTTTCATAAGATTGTAATAAACAATTGTTATGATAATACATACAGTACTTAGCATAAAGCTTTATCAAACTACCTATTATACCTGGATTACTATTGATATTACTCCTGTATCTCTCTTACTCATCTTAATTAGAGGTTTATATTTTGGTTATTTGCGCATGATTTAGGGCTATAATAGGACTATTCTAGAAAGGTAGATCTTGCGGCGAAATTGGTGTCAGAGCCAGACCACAACTTCTGCTTTAAATAGTATGCAACAGAGTAATCAATATAAGTCAGCACAAAAATCTGAATCAGATTTAACTGACTCAAAAATGGATTTTCTAGTTTTAACTCTTCAAGAAGAGAAATGGCTTAATAAACAATTTATTGGATAGGATTATTTGTCTGAAGAAAATAAGGCAATTAGAACTTGGTATAAAAAAATTTTCAACCCAGATTAGTAGAATTATTCCATATAAAATATAACAAGGCACGAAAAAGAGAACATTATAATAAAGGATTTTTTGTATGGTTTAGAGAAATATGTAAGGAGAAGAAAATTCATATTCCTAATTTTGAAGTAAATACACTACAAAGTCAATATAGTTCATATGATACAATAGATGGGAATACATTAACTAGTATCCATCCTCCTGAAAAAAGTATTGTTATAAAAGGATCAAATCCAGACTTAAAATTAGAAACAAAAGCTACACCATATAAAATGACTGCAGGAGAAATAGTACAACAAAAAGCTAAATTAATTCCACATGTGATAGAACAAAATAATTACACCAATCTATATATGCAATCATTAGGAAGGCAGGCTTCCAGAATTGAAAATATGTTAAGACCGGTACCTATACAAGAAACCCAAAAAAATGTCTTATTTAAACCACCTCCATCACTTGACAAAGAAAAATTTAAACTTGGAGAAGATAATAAGACTTGAATGGATCAGTTAATATCAAAATTATCTCAATTAGAGATTCAAGAGAAAAAACAAAAAAGCAAAGATATCCCTGAATCATCTACATTAACCTTGCAAGAGGAGACACCTATAATAGCTGACACAATAGAAAATATGGAAGAAGCCTTTACTGAAAATAGTCATAGTCAAGCCAACAATAACATCCAAAGAATAACATATGGAAAATCATGGAAACCATTAACAGCTAGACCTTATCATCATAGACCTACTCCTGTAGATATACAATTCGAAGAAGACTTAGTAGCCGAGAATATTTCTTATTCCGGCAGATCAATAGTAAATTAGAATATAGATGGACTGTCTGAACAACAGATGTTAGACACCATGAAACATATGACCATGTATGCTTCTGCATGTAAAATGGTAGGCAACCATGATCAAGAAGTTGCCAAAGCCATTGTCTGGGGCTTCACAGGATGGCTTCGAGGTTGGTGGGACTTCCACTTATCTGAAAATACCAAACAACAAATTCTTAATAATACTCGTCAATGGACTACTAAAAATGAACATAATCAAGATGTTTTATATTTCGAAAGTGATGTTAATACTCTCATTTACACCATCACACTTCATTTTGTTGGAAGTACAACCTTACTTGAAGCTCGATCTGAAGATTTATTATCTAATTTGCGATGTCCAACCCTATCCCACTATAAATGGTACAAAGATGTTTTCTTTTTCAGACTATTAACTAGAGAAGATAGCTAACAGGATCATTGGAAAGAAAAATTTGTTGCTGGATTACCACATTTATTTGCTGAGAAAGTAAACACTAGATTAAAAAATAAGAATGGAGGAATCATACCATATTCTGTTTATACATTAGGAGAATTATTTGCAGAAATAGGTGCAGAAGGATTAGCCTTATGCATTGATATAAAATTAAAGAAGCAATTAGATAAACAGAAAATGACTGGTAAAAAGGAATTAGGAGACTTTTGTGAACAATTTGGATATCATATAGAAAAATCTAAAGATAAATTTCATGAAAAGAAAAGACATAAGTTAGAAAGGGGGGACAAAAAATCTTATAAAAAATATAAAAAAGAAAAATTTATAAAAAGATTTTCTCCAAAATATAAATATCATAAAGGTAGAAAAAAATTACCGGTATGCTATACATGCGGAAAAGTTGGCCATTATAAAAGCCAATGTAAAGTAAAAAAGAAAATTGACGCAATAATCTTAGAAGAATCAATTAAAAATAAGCTATATGATATTATACAAATATATGATGATAACTCTTCTGAAACTTTTACTGATACTTCTTTATTAGGCCAAATAGAAGATGAATATTTTATGTCCTCCACAAAACAATCTGAATCTGAACAAAACATGGAACAATGTTCTTGTAATATGTTATCTAAAGAAGATACATTAATTTTAGACCTCATCAAAAAAATAAATGATCCAGAAGAAAAAAGAGAAATCATTACCCAATTTATTACACTAACAAAAGTAAAAAATAAACCAATTCCTTTACTCAAACCCCCAGAAGATTATAATTTTGCTGAAATACTCAAATGAATTAATAAAAAAGATATACTCCAAAGAGAACCCACAATATTTGAATTGAAAAAAGAAGTCAATGAGATAAAAACAGAAGTAGGACAACTAAAGACTAGAATCAAAATATTAGAATTACAAAATGATATATCTGGAACCATAACTGATACAGATGAAATTGAATTTGATCAACTAGTAGATACTAACCATATAGAACTAGAAACTTCAGGAACAAAAGAAGTTGAAGATAATATATCTGTAAATTTAGTAAACAAAATTATTTCACAAAAATGGTTTATATTAGTAAAAATTGTTATCCAAGAGGAATATAGTTTTCAAACATTAGCTTTGGTAGATTCTGGTGCAGATTTAAATTGTATTAATGAAGGTTTAGTCCCATCTAAATATTTCGATAAAACCACACAAATACGTAATACTGCTGATGGTAGTAGGTTATTTATTAAATATAAATTATCAAGTGCCATGGTATGCAATAATGGACACTGTTTTCCAACACCTTTTATTATGGTAAAAAATTTAAGTCAGGCAGTAATACTTGGAATCCCATTCCTAACATTACTTTACCCCATAACAATTAATAATACAGGTCTCGAAACAACTAGAAAAGGACAAACAATCAAGTTTGAATTTT